ATAAAGTTTGATAAAACGGAAAATTTTGTTCGACATCTAGCTGTGTCGTTTCTTCCTTATAGCAATACATCCCAATTTTTGTGATTTCCCATAAATGTATGGACCATTTTCTATATAATATTAAGACACTAAAAAAATAAATAAAAACAAATGTCCATAAATATATAATTTTGACATGTCTAAACTATATGAAAGGTATTAACACCTTTGTGTGCTATAAAATGCATCTAATCTTCTTGTAATAAGATATAGCTAGGTAGATAACATCTTTTAGCATACCCATCAAAATCAAACTCAAATCTCTACAAAAGTAAATATAATGTTTGCAGATAAAACTTGCTCTATGCAGCATGAAACTTCTGAAATCAGATCTCTTCTCAATGAACTTCCGACGAATGTTAATATTCTTCTTGTGGATTCCAATTTAGTCACTTTACTTAATACGAAGACAATCATGCAACAATGCGAATATGAAGGTATATAACTCTCTCTCTCTCTCAATAAATTTAGGGATTTAGAGAGTTGTTAGGGTTAGGGTTTATAATTTTTTGTTTTCTTTTTGTTATTCAGTGACGGTTTATTCGGATGCGGAAGAAGCTCGTGCGTTTCTAACAACTACTAAACAAAAGATTGATATTGTGGTTTGGGATTTTCATATGCCTAAAGTTAATGGAATTGAAGCTCTCAAAATTGGTTCAGAGAGGGATTTGCCCGTCGTAAGTAAGTAAAATCACAAACTATGATTTATGTTTGAAAACATTAAATTCAACCAATTCCTTTCTTTTGTTTTGAATTAAACTATATGTTATTTATTTTGATGTTTTATGTAGTTATATCCGATGAAAATCAAAGAGAATCGGTGATGCAAGCAACCATACATGGTGCTTGTGACTATGTTATGAAACCGGTTAGCAAAGAGGTCATAGCCAACATGTGGCAACACATTGTACGCAAGAGGATGATGTCTAAACCCGGCTTAACTCAACCTGTTCAATCAGATCTGGTTCAGAGCCACGGTTTAGGCCAAGACAACGATGATTCTAGGACCGTAGGCAGAGGTATCGATAAAGAAGAAAATTGGACCGGAGAAATTCAACAGGTTCAATCAGATCTGGTTCAGACGACTGACGTTTTCGACCTAGAAAACTATGATTTTGAGACCATAGACCAAGAGAACGCTGAACGAAACATCGATAAGGAAGAAGAAAATGCGGCCAAGAAAGCGCGAATTATGTGGACAAGTTCAGTTCAACCAGATCTGGCCCAGACGGATGGTTCATACCGAGACAACGGTGAACAAAACATCAGTAAGAAAGAAGGGAAAAGACCGAGGAAACCGCGGATGACATGGACCGGAGATCTTCACCAGAAGTTTCTTCAAGCAATTGAAATAGTTGGTGGTATTGAAAGTAATCAAAAAATTCTTAATTGATCCAGTCTTTTTCAATTTCTTGACCATTATATTATATCTCTTGTTCTAATCTCGTGTATTTGGAATGCAAACGCAGAAGCTAATCCAATGTTAGTCCTCAAATGTTTGAAAGAGATGAGCATTGAAGGACTCACTAGAAGCAACGTGGCCAGTCATCTTCAGGTAAGAAAAAGATACTCATCTATGTTTCTTGCACAACAAGAAAACCATTAAATTAGGGCTTTACACATACCAATAGAACAAATTCAACATCTTTGTATTTGACGTGCAGAAGCACCGTATCAATCTTGATGAAAAACGAATCCCTCAACTGGCGCTATCGATTGGTCAGTCCACTGGGTATAGAACTTCGTCTCTCCTAGGCCAGAACAATGATCAGTTTGGTCGGTCCATTGCGTATAAACCCTCGTCTCTCCTAGCCCCAAGCAATGCTCACTCTTCAATACCGTCGTACCTTCTGAATGATCGAGCCTCGAACCCGATGATTAACCAGAATCAGTATCCCAATGGTTACTTGACAATGAACAATAACCAGTTCATGACCAGTCCTCTGCCTCGTTTGCCCTATTTAGACCATCCCCAACAGCAGCAACAATATCAGTTTGCTCATCAAATGGATTACGCGATGAACATGAATGAACCTGAACAATACCAGTTTTCTCACAATCTCCAGCCGCAGCATCAGCAACAATACCAGTTTCCTCATCAAATGGATTACGTGGTGAACAAGAAAGAACCTGAACAAGTCTATGGCACCGACCGCGAGCTCATTTATCCAAATTTGCCCTATGATCCAAATGAGTTTTGGATGAATGGCTAGAATTTCAATCAGTGATTTGGCCTTCAATTTACTTGAGCCAATGTTGGGGAAGAAGTAAGAGAAGAAGAACCATGTGGAGTCACAAGAAGGTTAATTAAGTCATTATTCTATCAAAGCTATTTAGTAATAATTTGTTACAGATAATATGCATTTCAGTAAAATCAGTATCATAGAACAAGTATTCTTTACATATCTTGTAGAAATCC